TTGGTTGCAGCCATCATTGTTGTTTGGCGGGTCCAGGCTGGGGATTCGAACCTGCCACCTTAGGTGTACGTGGCTGGCGCCTTAGCCAGTTGAGCTATAGGCTCCAAGCCACCCTTTGTGGGTTTATCCTAACTGCAAGTATCTCTGGGTTTCACAATTCTTCAGTGAGGTGCTTTAGCACCACCAAACACATTACACAATCCATCTATACACGAGTGGTAGTGTTATGCCCTGATATGTAAATATTAATGTCACTAAATGCCTTTTGGTAAATGGCATAAAGTATCACTAGATAACTTTTTGTAAAATAAATTTCATTAACCATCTCTTCAAAGAATCTTATAATTGTCCACACCATAGCTACCAATGCCTACATACAGGTCTCTAAGCAGGATGCACAGGCAATACAGTATCATGATAAAATGCAGGATGCAGAGGACTGGACTCATGATGGCAGCCGATGTTCTAGCATGCATAGGGGCGTGCGCCAGCAGAACCCGGTCCCCAGCCAGGCATGCTTAAACATACAGAGGACAGGACACAATGGGGGTCATGTCCATTCACTAGCCACAAAAGAGCCAAAGCAAGCCTAAAGGAAGCCAGGATGACAGATGCTTGGAGAACGAGATCAGCCTACAGAGGGCAATGCAGATATTGCTTTGGGTCAAGCAGCAGATCGAGGTGACCAAAACAGACCTCTGACCCAGATTTCCTTTTTGCGGTATCGTCTATATTGAGAAGGTCCCCAAAGCGCTCATTAGTGATAAACTGATGGTGCGTCGGGATGACGCCCGTGTGGCGTCGAGCTGCAATATCGGCCTCTTCTTGCTCGCGCTTAAGTCGTCTCTGGTCCGCTAAAAGTTTCTGCCATAAAATTGCATAAAATGGGCAGTGAATCATCTGGTCCAGGGTATTGGAAAATTGACAACAAAGCAACTAAGGAAGAAGATGGGTGAATGGGGAGGAGACTTGGGAGGGGTTTCAGAGTCACAGCTACTATGCTCCTGCTGTAACCACCCTCCGAGCATCATAGGAAGGAGACAGCACTGCACGGGGGAAACCTGGGAAAGCTGGGACGCGGGGAGGGAGGATTCCAAAGATCATACCAGCCGGCAGACTATCCCCAGGGTTAGCCGAAAGCCTCCTGTGCCCTGGCAGCAAAGGCCAGGTGAGCATGGGGCACATCAGGGGATGCCCAAGCATGCTGGGCTGGCAGCAGGAGGCCAGAAGTGCGATCTCTACCTCATTTGGGCAGTGATTTGCTCCCACAGTGTAGTTCCATGGCAGGACCAGGGCTAAATAATTCTTCCTACCCATATCAAGCTTATTAACCTGCTATTATGGGCTTTGCTATATGGGGCCAATGGTGACTAGGACATTTTTGTGTTTCCTATGTTTTTTACTCTAATATGCTGTCCACAGAATGCAGCTGCCCACTTCAGAAAATATGGCACCCCTTCTCCTAGGCCAGCCAACTCTCTCCCTGAGTATGATTTTTCAGGTGGCTTAGTATATGCACTAAAGGCTATGTATGTGGCTAACAGAGAGAGAGTTATAAATTACTTTCTTTTTTTTTTTTTTGAGACAGTCTTACTTGACACCCTCCACAGAGTGCTGTAGTGTCACAGCTCACAGCAACCTCAAACTCTTGGGCTCAAGCCATCCTCTTGCCTTAGCGTCCTGAATAACTGGGACTACAAGCACCTGCCACAATGCCCAGATATTTTTAGAGATGGGGTCTCTCTCTTGCTCAGGCTGGTCTCGAATCCCTGAGCTCAGACAATCCACCCGCCTCGGCCTTCCAGAGTGCTAGGATTATAGGCATGAACCCCTATGCCCAGCCATCAGTTACTTTCTTACTAAGCTATTTCTTCATTAGGTGAAATGAGCTGAGTTTAAAGGAATGATATATATAAAGCATAGAAAATAAACTAAGACTAATGGTATCTGGGGTTAAAAGAAACATTCTCTCCTGTATTAAGAAAACAGTCATCGATTTCTATTTTTTAGAATCATTAAAAATAATCAGTATTGCTTCTTACCAAATACCTTCATTGCCTTTGGAAATGACCTTATGGAATAGCATTTTAATGTGTTTTTTAAAAATATACAGGGTATCTATGAAGTTCGTGTCCAATTTAAAATAGTTGTCTATTGATGAACAAACCTATGGACACCCTATATACGAATTTTATATTCCTAGGATTAACTGCCCTTATAGAAAAGCATTAATTAGAGCAGATAATTCTTTTTCTTTTTTTTAAGAGATAGACTCCCTCTGTTGCCCAGGCTGGAGAGCAGTGGCATGATCATGGCTCACTAGAGCCTACAACTCTTGAGCTCAAGCCATCCTCCTGCCCCAGCCTCTTGAATCGCTGGGATTACAGGCAACCATGTAATTCTTAGCATGCAGAACTAATAATTCTTAGCATGCTTAATAAAAGATTAGTCTTCGTCTAGTATGCAATTAAATGTCTCATGTGACATCTATCCTTAAAGGATGGTAGGCCTGATTTTTCTCCAGGTCTACTTTCATCAAGTAGCTGAGGGATTTCTAGTGCTCAGGTAAGCTGTCATAAGGATTAAATGAGAAAAGACACGAGAAATCTTTTGCAAAGCACAGTGCCATGGAAAGAGCACTGGCCCAGAAATCTGGACCCCTGGTTTCCTGCTCTACTATTGGAATAGGGCAACTTACTAAGTGGCTCTTTGTAAGCCACTACGTTTCTATGATTTTTTCCTGGATAAAACAAGGGGGTTGGTAGATGACCACTAATGTCCCTTCCAGGATTGGCACATTCCCATTTTCTAAAATGCTATTATCATCAATGGTAATAATAAAGCATTTGCATATGAGAAGGATACCCCCATGAGCTGGGCAGTGTGGGCTATTTCTGTAACAATGGGAATGGATTGAGCCTTAAAGTTGTCAAAGTCCTTGTCAAATCCCTAGTGTATTGAGATGGGGCAAAGCTCCCAACCCAGTACTTGAATCTGACCTCAGTAAATCCAGCAGGTCTGCAGTTTAACCACATAAGCCAATAACCAGAGATAAAGACATGCAACTTTCAATAATCTATGAGCCAGTATTATTCAGAATACAAACTGCTCACCTTCTATATGCAACTTCTAATCTATCAATTGCTAAACTAAGTAAGTAAAACATGTCCCCCATGTGGTAGATAAGAATTTTCTCACAAAACCTTCTATGTTGGGGACTAGGGTTTATATTACTAAAAAGGAATTTCATCTTCCTTCATCACAGCAGCCCAGGCCTACATATTTGGGAATTTTGTATTTTTGTGACAGCAAATACTTAACACAGAGCTACAGAAATGAATGTGTTCTGAGGTCTGATGGACACTCATCATTAGTGAGTGATTACAAATAATGTCTTCATATTCAATACTTCCTCTTGTTTCTTTCCATGGACAGGTGCAAGTATCCTATTGAATACTGTTTGTGTTTAGAGATGGGGAAAAGTATAGTTGTTTCTTTTTTGCCTTTTGTCTTACAATCTGGCAGCAATGATTATTTTCATCCAGCTACTGCCAAAGTCAGCCTTAGCCTAAATTTTAAAGAAAGCTTCTCTCAAATCTTAGAACTACTCAAGTCAGAAAAACAAAGAAAAAGGACTTTAGAAGGAAAGGAAGGACTTCAGGAAATGAGACAGCTTATGTGGACAAGAACACCCTTCTCCTGCTGCCCCCACCCAAGGTGATTTTTCCATCTCTTAATTCATTATAGGAAAACGGGCATTGGAACACTGTTTCATCTCTAGGACCTGTTTTCTTGGGAATATGAAGCCCAGAAGTGTGCATAATAACAACACTTTATCACAGCAGAAACTTGTGATTTAGCCCATTTGGCTGATATGAAGAACTGGCCATGCTAGTTAGATCACTGCAAGACATCTCAGCCACTGCAAGAAAATACCCATGTGCAGAAGCTCTTGGCTGAATATTCTTTACCAATGTTTACTGGAGTATCTACCTTCTTCTCAGCTAAAGGCCACAGAGTTATGGGCAACTCCTTCAAGTTCTTTTATAAAATGTACCATGGACATTACTGTTTTTCCTGTTCCTCTGTTCTTCTACTGCACCCTTCCCAATCTGAACTGTGCTTTGTACCAACAGAGGGGTGGGTAGTATTGTACTGAAGCAGCATGTGGGCAGACTTCCTTAGAGAATGTGGGGAGGCAAAGAGGGGCTGAAGGAGCAAACTCCAGTTTCCAGCCAACAGGGCACTGAACACAGTAGTGGACAAACTCTCTCTATACTTCCCATGCAGCAGTGCTGGCTGGACTTGGTATTCATAACCTAGGGTGTGTGGGGAAATCAGCCCTACTTTTTTTGAAAAGTGGACTAAAAGGGGAGTGATCGAGCCCGTCATATAAAAACGCCATTTGTGAAAGTTCCAATCATTGCTTCTAATTACTAAACCGGGTCACCTTTTTGACAGATTTCTAGAATGTTTCCTTCCCTCAGACCATCTTCTGAACAAGAGCTAAGAGATTTAAAAGATAGGATTTACCTCTTTATCATCATGGCGTCTTCGAATAAATTCTTCTGTAGATTCCAAGTAATCGGCTGGTATAAAATGTCTTGGTGATTCTGAATCTTCAAAACAACAGAGTATAGTTAAAACAGGCAAATATTTAGCGGGAAATCATGTTGGGGAAATTTCACCTTTCATCTATTATAAATAGCAAGTTTTTATGATCATTGTTAACTAACGATCAATAATCAAATTCTAAAGGGAAAAATCTCAAATTCCACCCCCACTTTTCAGATTTACTTGCGAACCAGTTAAATACAAAGAAAACTAATCAGAAGGCAAAAGGTGAGCAGAAAGAGAGGTGTCCCTACAGAGAGGCGTGCAGGATCTCACAGAGACAAACCGCACACTCAGACACACAGGGCCATGAGAGAGGCTGCCTCTCAAAAAACCATGGGGTGAGCGGGGAATTGGTGCAAACCCCAAGGGGCTCAAGAGTTCAAATGAATAAGTCTCTCAGTTGAGGTAAACGGCCAATTTTTCTTTCGAAACACAGTTTGGTGGTTAGTCTAAATGACATGGTGGTGGTGGTGGGGTTTGTTTTTAAAGAAGTGCAGCCACTATGAGCCATGATCAGTTGCCAAGCAAAACAAACAGAAAACAAAGGGCAGACCGGAAAGTGAACACCAGGGGCACACCAAGGGGACAAAGCAAGCAAGGTGAAAAGACGGGGGATGAGACTGGTCAAAGACACAAAATGCCACCTCCACAGGGTGGTGCCAGTTCACTCTGAGGGTTGTTGTTCCTGTCCAGGCTGTGGTCTGAATATGGCACAGAGTTCCCATTATTAACGGCCCTTGGGCAGTCCTCTGGGACTGCAGGTCTCTCCCGAGGAGGCTCTGAGTTGCAGCTAAGCCTGGCCATGGTGAGGTGGGAAGACAGGCGTGTGGGAACCAAGGGCTTCCCCACAGAGGGGGGCTGGTCCTGGTGGGGCTGGCTGGGGAGGTCTGGCTTCTGGCCCACTGGGAGGCTGGAGGAGTCACCAGGGGAAGGCTGTCTGGGATGGTGCTGGAGGGGCTTTTTCAACCGAAAAGGGAGGGGGCTCATTAGGTATATGTTCCTGAGGAGGGTGCTCTTGTCCCCTCTGGAATCCAGGCGCCAGTCAGGCTGTCTGGGGGTCTGCTGTTGCTCATGCTTCCGGATGGTGGTGAAGCGGGTATACGAGGCTGGGCAGGTACCCTTGCACTTGTTGAGACGATGTTTGGGGAAGTCTCCGTGAACGCTGCCACTGCTGCCCTCTCTGCTGTCATTGGAGGCATTTGAACAGCGGTCCAGCTCGTCAGAGCAGGTGGAGAGTGGCTCAGAAGGCACGAGGCCCCTGAAGCCCAAGGTGTGTTCGGCCATATCGCTGCACGTTGGAGAGGCACACACCCCACCGGAGTTCATTCTATCCATCTCCTTGGGATGGAGCTTGGTTGACTCAAGGAGGGACTCAGCAGAGCGGGCTGAGGTCAGGCCGCCCCGGGGCAACACAGGTGTAGGGGACTTGCTCAGCCTGCCCGACAGGTCCAGGGACGGCATGGACCGTGACCGCTGAATCAGCTGCTCAAAGGCTGTGATGCGGGAGGAAACTGTGTGCTTGGGGATGTGTTCTGAGCCTTCCTGGCTGGAGCCCAGCTCACCCCTCACCAATGCCAGGCTGCTCCTTTCAAAGTGGGAGGCAAGATCCCGCACACTGGAGGAGGAAATGGATCCCAGGAAGAGACCGGCTCGGTTGATCTGGTGCATGTCCCGGTAGAACATGGTGAACTGCATCCCAGCCTTTCTCGAGAGAGGACAGGGCCTCCTGGCGCTGCTGCTGTACTCCTGGAGGCTCATGGTGCTGCTGGACTTGCTGTCATAATCCCGCCGGGAGCGCAAGAGCAGGTTCTCGATGCTCCCCCCCACTTGCAGGGGGAGGCCTCTTTTAGAATCATTCAAAGAAACCGAAACACAAAGGTTCTCACAGCTCTGGGCCTTCTCTGAGGGCAATAGGACACTCTTTTGTTCCTGCAAAAGGGCGCTGGGAGCAGAGAACCTGGGTTTGAATTTGGAAGGAAGGATTTCCGAAATGCAGGCTTTCGCAGCTGACAAGGGCTTCTTGTGCTTACACACAGGGCCTAACGCACTGCTAGTGTTACGTGTTCGGCTATGAACTGAAGATGAAGTAATCATGTGAGCATTCCCACCTTTACGATCCACTGGTAAGCATGCAGAATAAAATAAACAGACCCATTAGGTTAAAGCTGAAAGCTGCTTAAAAAATAAAGGAGAGGTAACATGCTCATTTGTTGTCATAAGGGCTTTTTAAAAATTTCCAGTTGATGTCCGGAAGCAAAATAATCTGTGCTGCAAAGCAAGTGCAAAGATGCAACAACAACAACAAAAAAAAGGCCACCCTGCTGGAATTAGGAATGGCTAAAGCTCAGCTAATTTCTAAGAAAAGGGAATTAGAACAAAAGAAAGAGAGAGATGCTTCATGGAGAGCAAGGTTGGAGGTTCGAAGGAAGGGAAACTACTAATACCAGAAAGAAAAATGGCCGGTGAGAAATAGGGGAGGGACCTAAGAGGGCTCCAAGGCCTGGACATGGATCTGGACAAGGCAGAACGTATCCCCGTTGCTGAAGGTTCACCCGCTGCTGACGCTCAGTAAATGGGGGTGGACGGGAGACAGAGGCCTGCAGGCTTCACCCAGCTAATTACCTTTAGTAGAAGCTGAGCTGGACGGCCGCTTGAGCCCACTGAGGCCCTGAAGAGGGATGTCACCACCTTCCAAGACACTTTTATAAATCTGTCTCTCATTCTCCAAGCTAGCGAGATCCCCAGGTGCCCCATCTGATTCCCTCTTCACTGCATGGAAGTTGGAAGAATATATACTATGAACACGGTAATTTTAAAAGAGAGAGAGAAGGAGGGGGGAGATAAGAACAGGAATTAGTATTTTCAACATTTTTCCGATAAGTATATTACCTGTTGAAGACAAGAAATACACTTCCTGGCTTCCTAATCAAGCACAGTCCTTTCTGAGGAGCATTCTTAGTTAGAAACAGATTTCTATAGACAGGACCAGCCCATGGGGCCCTGAATGCCCAGGAATCTTGTCAAAACAGCAAAGGACTCTGATTGAGATGACTGCGTTTCTGCTTTAAAAGAATAATTCTGTGAAACACTGGCACTGGGAAGGGGAAGGTTGGAGGAGGTCAGGGCAGATCAGGAGGGAGGGGGACCCAGTGGCTGCAGGCAAGAGGGTGTAGGCAAAGACATGGGGATAGCCTCTAACATGGAGCCAGCCAGTGCTTCAAGTCCACTACGCCAATTATTTTTCTGGGTTATTCTTCACAAGTGCTTTTGGCTGATGGAATATTAACATGAGCAATGAAAGGGGGAAACCCAGCTGTCTTGGGTCTCCAAGAAAACCAGTAACCAAGTAAAACTAGAACCTGGGATTCCATGTGCTCTTACTATCACAGCTAAATTTTACACTCCTTTCAAAGTCTGTGTTCAGAAGCTTATGACATGTGTTATGAGCATAAACTATGGCTTATTTCTATCCTTCACTTATTTTTATCCTTTGAAACCTAGGTATTTTTGCAAGTTACCACAAGTTCTTTTTGGAATGAGGTGTGGCACCAAAAAAAATTAAGAGCATTTACTCACTGAGCCCTGCCCTTCCCCTAAGCCCACTTTTCTATGCCCTCACCCAGTAACACCTATCACTGGCACACATGTACACACATGCACACACAACTCTTCTAAATGAATGGCTCCTTTCCCACAAAGTACACAGGCTTCTGGCAGCTTCTTTTAATGCTGCCAAACTCAGTTTATTGGAATCAATATGAATTTTTCAGCTCTGAAAACCCACAGTTAGATGAAATTCCTTCATCAAAATATTTTACTTTGACTATTTTCTAATAAAAAGCACAGCTTAAACTATAAGAGTTTAAATATCCACAGGCCTCCCACCTAGATTCTACAAGGGACACAGCTGCCTTTGCTTTATCACACATCTATCCGGTCTCTCCTCGTATCCAGCCATCAGTGATGGAGTAGTTTTACATTCCATAAAGCCAGCCTTTCCTTCTGTGTGTGACCTCTAGGGCTAGCAGTCTCGAATGATGACAACAACAGTGAAACTCTCTGTGATGCCCGGTGAGGCATCCTGGGGGGGGGCGGCTCTGTGCTAGCTGCCTGCTCATCTTTTTCTCTTAAATCCCCTCAGTCCTACTTTTGTTGTTTTTCAGATGAGGAAACGAGGTACTGAAAAATTTGGTAACTTGTCAAAGTGGGCGTGTTAGCAGAATGACAAGGTGGGAACTTGAACCACACCATTGGACACCACATAGAATTGTGTTCTCAGTCGGTGTTCGAGATACCACATTTTGCTATAACTGAGGAGGAAGAGGCTTGCACAACACAGGATCCAGAGGAGCTGAAGGATGCTCTGGATCCATCTATGTCACCATCGCTGAATGTCACCTATCATAAATACACTCCTAGGACAAGTGGCACCAGAATCTGGGAGTCAGAAATGGAGAAGAGGTGGGGAGTCTGGTGAACATTGTGATGTCTCCTCCTCAAAGTAGTGAAGACCCCAAAGCAATACCATTGTTTCTGGCATGGGTAGTGCTCCTCACAGGAGCTGCTATTTGCCGAGCCTTACCCTGTGCCCACCCTTGGCTAAGGGCTCCCTAGGTCCCTCCTCATTCGCTCTGGCCTAGGTGAAGGGATCAAATGTTTTTTCCCTTTTCCTGAATGGAAACATACCTGAAGGTAGCCTGCAAGGCTGCAGCACTCTATGCCAATTTAAATAAATGTAAACTCATCTAAATTGGCTTTAACTTTGAATTTCCTAATTAAAAACAAACCTGCCCCTTTTCTGAATTTTCTGTTCCACCATTTTCCTTTTGGTTGCATGTTCTGGTTTTGACCTTCAATTTAACCCCAACAGAAAAAAAAGATCAAAGTATAGATGCCCTTTATTCTTGCTGACCAATGGTTGTAGTCACTGAGGTCTGTTTTGTGAAGAGATAGTCTCTGAAACCTGGCTCACGTTGGTTTGGGGTTACCATACCTCCCTTAACACTAGAGAGTGTTAAACTAAATTTGGCCTGAGGCTACCTCCATACTTTGAGTTCTTGTACCTAGTGAACCGTGACCTCACTTAGTATGTAAGCAAACTACAATCTAATTTAAGAGTGTATTCTTCGGCTAAGGCACCAGCCATGTACACCTAAGGTGGTGGGTTCGAATCCCCAGCCCGGACCCACCAAACAACAATGACAGCTGCAACCAAAAAATAGCCGGGCGTTGTGGCGGGCGCCTGTGGTCCCAGCTACTTGGGAGGCAGAGGCAAGAGACTCGCTTGAGCCCAGGAGTTGGAGGTTGCTGTGAGCTGTAATGCCACGGCACTCTACCCAGGGGGACAGCTTGAGGCTCTGTCTCAAAAAAAAAAAAAAAAAGAGTGTATTCTTGTAATAAGTAGCTGAGTCTCCACCAATCACAGGCTGATCAAACACTGATCGATTCATGCCTATGTGAGACAAATACCTCATCACATCATACTCAAATAGGGCAAACTTTGAGTGTAACCAATCAAGCTGTTTCCATAGTGACTTCCTTTTACTGTCTATGAATGCTGCCTGCTCTGGTTATCGAGTTGAGTTCTCTGAACCTCTCCTGCTTTTGAGAGCTGCCCAATGCATGAATTGTCTTTTGCTTAAATAAACCCTGCCAAATTAAATTTATCTAAAGTTTTTCTTTTTTCTGGGTGTAGTGGCTCATGCTAGCACTCTGGGAGGCTGAGGCAGGTAGATTGCTTGAGCTCAGTAGTTTGAGATCAGCTTGAGCAAGAGCAAAACCCCATCTCTACTAAAAACAGAAAAATTAGATGGGCATTGTAGTGTGCACTATAGTTCCCACTACAAAAGGATTGCTCAAGCCCAAGAGTTTTGAGGTTGCTGTGAGCTATGATGCCATAGCATTCCACCCAGGGTGACAGAGTGAGACTCTGTCTCAAAAATAAAAAAGTTTTTCCTTTAATAAAGTGCCTCTGACAGCTGCTTCCATCCTGTTGTCTTTTGAACTGCCTCAGCCTTGGTCAGAACTTCTAATCCATCTTCCTAAGTTCCTCTTAACTTTGTTCTGTCAGGATTATCACTATAACTGGCTACCTGACCTCACACCTGCTCTACCTCACCAGACATAAAAATTCACTTCACCTTAGTTACCTCACTCTCTGGCTTTTTTCCACTCATTGTCATCATTTTTTCCTGCTTCCCACCAGAACAACAAACCAACACTCAGGAAACCTCTCAGAATGGATTTACTATAGCCAATTGTTTTCTTTCTGGTACCAAAGCGAACAAAACATGCTTTTTCCAGATGTGTTACATTTTGCAACTCATGTCCTCCTTGTTTAAAAACAATATCTAAGATCTCTAGAACACTGTTTTAAAATATATCCATTAGCTCTTTGAATGCTGGAAAGAGAGAACATCTGTTCCACTGTACAGAGGGGAAACTGAGGACCAGAGCACTTAAGACATTTGCCCAAGGTCAAAGATGTTGGGTGCAAGGCTCTGTCCAAGTAGATCAGAGAGGATGAGAGAAGCCCTACATCCCTAGTTGACTGAGAAAGGCCCAATCAGGATTAGCAGTTACTTACTTCTTAACAAAATAAGTTGAGTTGAGAAGCTCAGCTCTGTGCAGGAGGGAGGACAGAAGATTCAGCCTCTGGCTAAGATGCAAAGCTGGCTACTGAGTTTTAAGAGGTTACAACAAAAACACTCACTGGAAAAATTAAGTGAGGGAACAGAATAATTATCCCAGGCCAACTGTTTCTACCAGGGTCCTAGAGACTGGGAATCCAGCTCAACTCCAACAAGTAATGTGGATCAGCTGAGGCAAACTAGCTCAGTTTAAAAACTATCTTTCCTGGCCTCAATTTCTTTCATCTGCAAAACTAATAATGCATGGTGAGACTGTTAGCTGCACAGACCTTTCGAGCTCCAGACACAAATATTCAACTGTCCTCTAGACGTCTCCACCTGCATGTTCCTAAGGCATCTGACTGACACTTGACATGTTCCAAACCAAACCTAGCTCTGTTTCTCTGAGCCAGAAAGCTCAGTGGATCAGTCCCCTTGCTCCTCAGACCTAATCCTGCTTTTTCCCTATCCACAACACAGCTTACATTTTATTTGCAGCTCCTCTATAAAGCCTTCTTTGAACTTTCCTCCTCCATAGGACAAGAGATGCTCACCCCCCCCCCACATTCCATCATTACATTTAAACATCGGATTCTAGTTATTTATACCTAGAACCCCTTGAGGTCAGGCAGTTTATTAATCTTTGCATGCCTGGTAACTAGCACGATTGTTCAATAAATATTATTGGAATAAATGAGTCTACAAAATTAAATTCCAACATGCATACATATTTATGAAACGTTTATGGGTACAAGCGAATCTTTCTAAAAGCAGAGTATGAATGTCTTAACTCAATAACATACCCATTTTTTGTCAAGAAAATGACATGAAGGCTACGTTAACCAGTTTGATGAGATGAAATGTATATGAAAATATCACACTGTACCCTGTGATTGCATTAATGTACACAGCTATGATTTAATAAAAAAATCTTTTCGTTTATAAGGTCTAGGAGAATCTCTAATGTTTTCATATAGTTCTTCAGGTTATAATCTGTATTATGTTCTCCTATTAAGGGGGAAAGGGTTTTCTCTGGTGTGTACCATCACCACCTAGGAAAGAGCAGCTTGTTCTTGAGTGCCACCTGCTGACCAAACAGAATAAAGCTCTTTACTTGATGCTAACTAATGCTGAAAGGCTAAGCGATGAAAATAATGAGTGCCCTC